ACTACACGACTACTACTACTACTACTACTACTACTACTACTACTACTACTAGTACTACGACTACTACTACTACTACTACTACTACTACTACTACGATCACTACCACTACTGCTATTATTACTGCTACTACTACTACTACTACTACTACTACTACTACTACTATTACTCCTGCTGCGACTACTACTACTACTACTACTACTACTACTACTACTGCTACTACCACTGCAACTCCACTACTACTACTACTACTACTACTACGACGACGACTACGACGACGACGACGACGACGACGACGACGACGACGACGACGACGACGACGACGACGACGATGACGACGACGACGACGACGACGACGACGACGACGACGACGACGACGAACGACGACGAACGACGACGAACGACGACGACGACGACGACGACGACGACGACGACGACGACGACGACGACGACGACGACGACACGACGACGACGACGACGACGACGACGACCGACGACGACGACGACGAACCGACGACGACGACGACGACGACCGACGACGACGACGACGACGACGACGACGACCGACCGACGCGACGACGACGACGACGAACCGACGACGACGACGACGACGACGACGACGACGACGACGACGACGACGACGACGACGACGACGACGACGACGACGACGACGACGACGACGACGACGACGACGACGACGACGACGACTACTACTACTACTACTACTACTACGACTACTACTATTACGACTACTACTACTACTACTACTACTACTACTACGACTACTACTACTACTACTACTACTACTACTACCACGACTACCACGACTACTACTACTACTACTACTACTACTACTACTACTACTACCACTACTACTACTACTGGTGCTGACCACCCTCTGTTTGCCAAATTACCCTGGTACATAAGGATAGTGGCGAAGATTCTGCGCCGCGGACGCGCCGCGCGCGTTTCGCATATGTTCCGAAAATGTTTCGCAAATGCTTCGTACATGTTTCGTAAATGATTCGTATATGTTCCGTAGATGCTCCGTACATTGTTCGTATATGGCTCGTATATGTGTCGCATATGTTTCGTGCCTTTTCGCATATGTTGCGGGTATGTTTCGTAGATGCTTCGTTGATGTGCCGTACCGTTTCGTATATGTTTCGTGTATGTTCCGCATACGGTTCGCATGCGTTTCGCATACGGTTCGTCTACCTTTTTTTCCGTATATGTCTCGGATACGGTTCGCATGCGGTTCGTGCACGTTTCGTCTGTGTGTCGTATATGTTTCTCGCATATGCGCCGTATATGTTTCGTATATGTCTCGTAAAAGTTTCGTATATGTTTCGTATAACTGTCGGATCTGGTTCGTATACGTTCCGTGTATGTTTCGCACATCGTTCGCACATGTTTCGTAAATGCTTCGTATATGGATCGCATGGGTTGCACACATGATTCGGATATGTGTCGTGCATGGTTCGCATACGTTCCGTATATGTTTCGTATGTGCTTTGTACATGGTTCGCATATGATATGTATATGTTCCGTTTCTGTGTCGTACATGTTTCGTATAGGTTCGTATACGTGTCGTTTATGTGTCGTCTATGTTTCGAATATGTTTCGCATATGGTTTGTATATGTTTCGTAAACGCTTCGTCCTAATTCGCACGTGTCCCGTATACATGTCGCATGCGTTTCGTATATGTTTCTGATATTGTTCGCATACGTTTCTTATACGCTTCGTATATGTTTCGTATATGTTGCGTACATGGTTCGTACCTGTTTCGTATATGTTGCGCACATGTGTCGCATTCGTCTCGCATGCGTGTCGTATACGTTTCGGATATGGTTCGCAGACGTTTCTAGTACGTTTCGTGCATGGTCCGCACACGGTTCGTATATGGTTCGTAAATTGTGCGCACACGGTTCGTATATGGTTCGTTTATATATCGTAAATGGTTCGCATTTGTTTCGCATAGGTTTCGTACATGTTTCGCATATGGTTCGCAGAGGCTTCCCATATGTTTCGCATATGTTATGTATATGTGTCGTATATGTTTCTTAGATGGTTCGTACATGTTTCGTATATGCGTCGTATATGTTTCGTATATGTTTCGTATATGTTTCGTAGATGGTTCGTATGTGTTTCCCACATTTTCCATATGTTCCGTATATGCGTCATAAATGTTTCGTAGATGATTCGCACACGCTTCGCCTATGGTTCGTAAATGTTTCGCATGTGTCGAACAGATTCTAATATGTTTCGCATGTGTTTCGTAAATGGTTCGTATATGTGTCGCATCGTTGGTTACATGTGTCGCGTGTGTTTCGTATACGTTTCGCATGCGGTTCGTATATGTGTCGTCTACGTTTCGTCATGTTTCGTATACGTTTCGTAAATAGTTCGTATATGTTTCGTGCATGCTTCGTATATGTTTCGTACATGGGTCGTACATTTGTCGTACACGTTTCGCGCATGGTTCGTAGATGGTTCGTACATGGTTCGTATATGCGTCGTACACGTTTCGCATATGTGTCGTAAATGTGCCGCACATGGTTCGTATATGTTTCGCATGGGTGTCGTTGGTGGTTCGCATGCGTTTCGCGTTTGTTTCGTATGTGTGTCGCTTATGTTTGGTATATGGCTTGTATATGTTTCGTATATGGTTCGTACACGTTTCGTACATGGTTCGTATGTGTTTCGTATATGGCTCGTAAATGTTTCGTATATGTTCGCATATGGTTCGCATACGTTTCCCATCGTATACGCGCGCCAGGTGGGCCAGGTGAGCCAGGTGCGCCAAGTGCACCGGGTGCGCCAGGCGCGCCCAGCGCGCCAGGTGCGCCAGGTGCGCCAGACGTGCCAGGTGCGCCAGCTGCGCCAGGTGCGCCAGGTGCGCCAGGTGCGCCATGTGCGCCAGGTGCGCCAGGTGCGCGCCAAGTGCGCCAGGCGCGCCAGGCGCGCCAGGTGCGCCAGGTGCGCCCGGCGCGCCAAGTGCGCCAGGTGCGCCAGGTGCGCCAGGTGCGCCAGGTGCGCCAGGTGCGCTAGGTGCGCCAGGCGCGGCAGGCGCGCCAGGTGCGCCAGGCGCACCAGGCGCGCCAGGTTCGCCAGGTGCGCCAGGTGCGCCAGGCGCGCCAGGAGTGCCAGGTGCGCCAGGTGCGCCAGGCGCGCCAGGTGCGCCAGGCGCGCCAGGCGCGCCAGGTGCGCCAGGTGCGCAGGGTGCGCCAGGTGTGCCAGGTGCGCCAGGTGCGCCAGGTGCGCCAGGTGTGCTCCAGGTGCGCCCAGCGCGCCAGGTGCGCAGGGTGCCAGGGTGCGCCAGCGGCGCCAGGCGCGCCAGGTGCGCAGGGTGCCAGGGCGCGCCAGCGGCGCCAGGCGCGCCAGGTGCGCAGGTGTGCCAGCAGCGCCAGGCGCGCCAGGTGCGCAGGGTGCGCCAGGAGTGCCAGGTGCGCCAGGTGCGCCAGGTGTGCGCCAGGTGCGCCGGGTGA